GAATAATCCAAAAAGGGAGTTTAACTATCCATTTTAATCAAATAACGACCTTATAATTATCATCTCTCTGACCAGATACAGTATGTATACTTTATCCATTTACATCACTATGTTAGCAGCGCCATTCAAATAGAAAAGGCGATATATTTTATTTATTTTATAAATTTTAAATTAAAAATAAATTTAAATTAAATTAATAATGTAAAATACTTTGAAAATCGAATTTTTTACAACAATTCAAAGTTTGCTGAAAATATTCCTATCATGAATGTTAACTATAGGGTTTGTCCAGAAACAAATGCTATTTTGAAGCGTTGAACATAAATCTGAAGTCCGATTTGCTCCATCACGTCAAGATTTTTAAAAATTTTAAACAAATGTCTAATCAAACAAGTAACTCAAAACTTTTGTGGGCTTTCTAGGAGTTTTTGGGGTCTCTGATTACAAATCTGATGTCAGATTTTGAAAATTCAAAATGGCGGATGCAATATGGAGGACTATTTTTTTTTAAATTATTAGAGTTGTGCAAAAAGCTTGAATAGCCGAGACAACATTTTTTCGAGCCGAGCCAAGCTGAACAAGTGAAAGATCGTTAAAAAATATTTATTAATACTTTTTATAATATTTTCCATCAACCCAGGTAGAAAAATTTAATGGAAGCCTAGATATATGCTAGCGCCACCACTGGAATTTGCATGGCAGTTTATCTCGCCGACGCAGGGTTCGGAAGTTACGCGTAACTTTGAGTTGTCTACGTAAATTACATATTCTACGTAATTTACGTAGAATACGTAATGTATGTAGACAACTTCAACTGTTACAACGAAATGCAAAGATACTGTCTAAAATCAACAAACGCAGAATTTGTTGACATTTATTATTTGACTTATTTTTATTGCTGTATTATTTAACCAATGTCTTCTAAAAATGAAAATAGCAATTTTAAATAAACATATACAGAAATTTCGTGGCTCGAAATGAAATTTGAAAAAATTAAAACTGTTGAAGATTAGACGGTAGCAAAGTGCTTAATTTGTAAAAAAATTTTAAAAAATACAAGTTACATGCGACTTGTTGGCCACAGATATGTATTAATAAAACTTTAAGTTTTTTAGATAAATAAATATTGTTTTTTATACGAAATTAAAATTTTTGCTTTAATATAAATACGGAAATTTCTGATAAATATAATATGTTTGCCATTTTCATTTCTTGATAAAGTAAAATTTAATTTATCACAAACTTCGTATTTGGGCCTGTCACCAGCACCACTACTACTTTTTGATATTTTAAGTTTTCTTTTAAATTTAATTGAACTGAAACTGAAAGCCAAATAATAAATATTTTCGTGTTTTCTCTACGCTTGTGAGCATGATCAACATGAACAAAGTGACATTAGAGGTTATGTTGTTAAGGGACGTAAACTACGTAGAGAACTAGACACGTAAATTACCAGGTAATATACGTGTAGACAACTATGTAGATTACATCGAGTAGTTTACGTTCCGAACCCTGCGCCGACGTCTTCTAGCACCTTACATGGCGCGAGCACTTTCCGCTAGAATGCAACATAACCTCAAATTTCTGTTGCATAAAGTGTCAAAGGTGTTTGTTTTTATTTTTAAAGTAAAAGTAAATGTTTGCTTGTAGAATATTGTGGCATTTAAAAACAATAATAGTAAAGGATTCTAAGTATTTATATATTTGTAATTGTATTAAATTTAAATATAAATTAATATTGCATTATAAATTTCTTGTTCATTCGTTAATTTATACACTTATTTATAAAAGAATTTTTAGTATATGAATGTCTTATTCAACCTCCAAGAAAATTTTTAAATATATTTTAAGTAATTTATTAATCTAACGATTTATCACCAAGAATAACAATAAATACTTTTTTATGGATCAAATATATTATTAATTTCTCTCCATTCGAATTAGAAAACATAATCTCAAACTGGATTTATTTTTTCTTTATTTTTAATTGACCTGACAGAAAATATTAACTGATTTTAAATAGGAACTTAATTTTTGCAATTATTATTATTATTATTATTATAATAAAAAATTGGTTAATTTCAAAAATTTTAATTTTAATGTTTAACATGTGTAACTATTTTTGACACTGTTACTCTAAAGAAATAAATAATTTTTTATGGAAATTTAATAATAATTTATTCTTAAAATTTCCATATTTAAAAAACAATTTTATACAGCAAATAATGATCAAAATTATTATTAGGCTTGGGATTAAGAAAAGGTTACCGTTTTCTGAATTAAAATCTTACCATAACTTTAAACGAAACGTGTATTAACTCTTCAAATACGTTAAAACTGCATTGTAGGCAGATAATTAGTGAATGTTTTTTATATGTACACGATTCTTTTAATTATATTCGTCAAAAGAAATGACATAGGAATCATTTTTTAATTCGTGAAATAAAGTATTGGCAGGTGAGGTTATGTTCATTCTAGCACTGCGAGCAGAATGCGAGAAAGGCGCTAGACTACAAAAGTGTTTCAAATGCTCTCAGCGCCACTACAGCGCAATGGAACGCGAGAGTGGCACCATGCTAGCGCCACCAAATTTTTCTACTAGGGAAATTTCGTTTAATTAGATGCATACTAATTGCTAACAATTGTTCAATGTGTTTTTAATTTAATTAAACAAATTAATATTGTTTATCTGTAACTTTTAGCTAGTAGATTAAAATTGGTTCACAATTATTCATAAGTTATAAAGAATTTTATGAATTTGAAACTGATTTCAGTTTTTGCCCAAGGTGGATACGACTTAACTATAAACTTTAACTTTTTTCTGTGTAGTTTTTGACACCTTTGAGACACTGTAAAAAATTCCAAATTTTAGAACGGTGGAAACTTGGTGTCTTTATCTTATCTATACTATACAAGAAAATCATAGTCCTTATTAGATAAGATTTTTGTAAATGATAATTATCAAACGCTTGACTATGAGAATAATAGTAAAATTTGTATATTACGAGGACTGTTTTCATAAATATAATTACTTACCTTTTTTATAGCAATAATTAAAAACACCAATTAATAGAACTCAGAATTTATCAAAAATAAATTCATTTGGAAAGTATAAAGTATTTGTAGTTGCTGTTTTTTAGTTCCGACTAAAATGTTTTGTGTTTTTTGCAGAAGGGGGGATTACAGAACTCTGATAAAAACTCCTGGAACTCTCAATTTATCAAATAAAAATTTTTCTTTTGTTTTAAGGGCTCATACCACTTTGTTAACTTCAAAAAAAAACGAATTTTTTTTATTACGGATATCGAAAGTAAAATATCTCAAAAATGTTGTATAAAAATATAAGAAAGATACTTGCACTCTAAATATATTTTTTCCCGTCCTATATTGGAGCGCGTACAAGGGCTATTTAAGTAATACAACAAAAACTTTAAACGCGTTTTTCTCGAAACCACATTTTTCCATGCTGTGTAATGTTTTTCTCGGAAACTACTACTGGACCGATTATTATGAGATTTTCACCACTTCTTTGTCACATGTGTGGGCATCGCCGGAACTAGAATTATTTAAAAATATTAATTTTTATTATTTTTTTAAACCGAAAAACTGTCAAAAAAACACCGTTTTTCGTACAACTTTATTTAAAGTTTTAAACAGATCCCATTTTGTTATTTTTTCATAAAAATTAATAATTCTAGTTCGGACGATAACTATACAATCCTACTGAACTTAAATCTTTTTGGTTTTTGCATTTCTGAGTTTTCTAATCTGAAAAAACATATACACAGGGATCTCCTGAATATTAGTGTGTTATGAGGGAAATATCTGATTCTAAGATTAACATTTTTTTGTCGTTAATTTGTTATTTTTTCAGAATTTTATCAGTTGATTGAAAATAAAAAAGGAAAAAACTTTAGTTATTATATTTTTCAAGTTTAAAGTTATTTTTATTAATTGGATAGATTTATAAGTATTCCTCCCAAGAAGACGATAAATATGACAAAGTGCAATCAATGAAATAAATGAGTTGCAGAACTTAACTTTTCTAGTTCCATAAGGCTACAATTCACAAATATTATTATTATTTTTTAACATTATGTTAAAATGCATCTCAATTATTTTAAAATTTGATACGTAAAATAAAATTGTAATAATTTATCAAAAAGTGAATCATTAAATTTTTTTTAATTTTAAGATATAGTACCGAATCTTCTATTCTAATAAATATTGTTTCGTTTCCACTTCGTAGCTTCCACCTTTTCATTCAACATGTGTCTTTTATTTAAAAAATTTTTATTGTTTTATATAATTTATTTAAAATTACTTACATTTTTATTTAATTTCTAAAGTTACCTAAATTCATTAAAATTCAAAACAAATTTGAACTCCAATGCTATTAATCATATTTAAGAACAGCGACTGTAGCTCCATCTCTTAAGTATATGTGAGTTTTAAGGCACTACATTTTATTTGGAAATGTGAGTCCGCCCTTCTATATTTTTTACATTGTCAATGCTCATTTCCTTTTTCGATATATATTCGACCTTTTTTCGCAATTTTTTTTTTTAAGAAAAGGATTAATAAATTAAAAATACTAAATCTGCTTCGATTTAAATATCACTGGATGTTTTTAAATTTTCGAGGTCGTTATTGATTCCGAATCTGATGTCAGATTTGAAAAATTTTAAATGTCGGATCCAATATGGAGGACCATATTTCCCTGACTTTACTGACTTTACTAACATGTGGCCACCCTGAACTAGGTTTAAATAATTTAATTTAAAAAAAATTAAATTATATTACTGGAAATTTGTACAGTAACTGTGTTTGTACGATTAGCTATACCTGTAACTTAACATAAATTTTTTACTATTGATGTCATCGCAGTCCAATTTTTTTCCATACCTTTAAACACTGTTCTTATGTAAATACATACTACTCATACGACGACAAAGTTTATTTGTGTGATTCAATAAGCTAGCAATGTTGATGATGCTTACCATAGAAACTGGGATCGGTCCTGCCGCTCCATTTGGGTATGGATATGGTGAGACGAGGTACCCCATATTGAAAGATGAAGTATGCGGCGTTGGATCAACTTTTCCTGTAAACATAATAATCACATATTTTTAAGAATGGCAATTAAAAAAGAATGTTAATTTAAAATTTGTAAATAATAATTTCAAAATTAATTAATATAATAGTTTATATAATTTATAAAGGGGTCGTCCATAAAGCATGTGATATTTTAGGGGGTAGGGAGGTCCGTAAAATATCATGCTCCATGTTAATCATTGATGAAAAAAGCATCATGACGAGGGGGGGGGGGGGGGTAAAATTTCCGAAATTATGTATCACATGCTTTATAGATGACCCCAAATTTAATAGTAAAAAATTGTTTGACTAACAGAAATATTGAAATCTCACTGATTGATATTAAGATAATATTTTCTTTTTCTACTATACCGGTTGAGTTAAGATCGAGACATAAGGTTTATGGTTCCGCATTCAATATCATATCAATATTTCTGTTTTAGATAAAAGGACAAACATTATTTGTACCATAGGTGTATTTAGCATAGCTAGAAATTTCGTGTAATAATATCTCTTCTTCATTTAAATGCAAAAAAAACCAGTCTGACTGTTTGTATATGAGACAGAGGTAGTGTGGTAGCCCATTGAAAATGTTCAGCCTCAAGCCCTCTCACTTAACCTTGACCATCTGAATGTATCTGTGTCTTCAGATTAGATTGAAAAAAGAAAAACCCAGTATTTTAGAAAAAAAAATCTACAATACTATTTAAACCTATTTCAACATTTTTAACAAAGATTGGAAGAAACTGAGAAAATTTAATACAAATAGAATATTTCCGAAACGATTAATCATAGAGAGGTGAAGTCCAAGGAGCGGGAAATAACCAGCTTTCGTTCCTAAATCTGATAGACCATAGTTCAGAATATTAATTCCGTGTGAGGATCCAGTTCGAAAAATACTTCCTCCATTCACATATACAATATTCAGCTTCTAAAAAAATTGATAATTTATATTAAAATTTTCTTTAAGGTATCACACCACCTCTGGTCATCGAAAAATTAGCTACTTTGTGGATTCTGCTTCGGTTCCTATGGAATATATTGACCTAAATCTTTTTGGGTTCAATAAAGGCACTCTTGAGTCTTCAAGTATATGAAAAAACTATTTTTAGTTTAACTAAATTTTTATTCAACTATTTTTAGTAATTTTTTAGAAGTAGTAGTAATAGTAAAGTAATTTGTTTATTTAATATTTATCTGTTTACAAAGCCTCATGAAAGAATCGATGACATCGACGTTCTTAACGTGCGAACTATAAATTTCAAATAATCAGATTCCGTTATGTTAGGGATTCGCTTATAATGAACAAATTTATCCCTCAGATAAATTATTTTTTACGCAGAGAAATATTCGATAAAAGATTTTTTATTTCGGTACTAAAAAAAATATATATTCACTTTTATTGAAATTTTATATTTTATATATTTACTAACTAGTTTTGAATTTCATTTACAATTCCTTTTTAAGGAATTGAATTATCCTCAAAACGAAATTGTAAAAAAACTCTCGAAACTAGTTAATAAATACAAAGAATATAAAACCAAGATAACCGAATTTAGGCCTTTCATTAGAAAATAAGCACCTATGTTATAATTGATAAAAAAAACAAAAAATTAGTATAGTTATTTCCAAAGTTTTATTTTTATTACTGCAAATTAAAGTGCCGCAAAATTTTGTTGAAAACTTTAAAAATATTACAATTAAAATATTTGATACTTATTAGTTATACTAGCAAAACTTTGATGCGCGTGAAATTTTCGTTATTGTTACTTTAAAATATTTGCTTTTTGAAATTTAATGAAAATTCTTCATTTTTTAAAAAAATATAATTTTTCTAACAGTTTTTCTTTAAATTTAATTATTTGAACAACACGTATAGAAATCGTCAAGATAATTTCTAACAGCAACTTGAAATGTAAGATATTTTTGATTAAATAATTGAACTTTCGAGTACCACTGAAACACTCCTAGAAATAAGTTTGTTCTAAATTTTTTAAAATGTAATTATTTTTAAAATTTTCAAGGAATTTATTTTAAAAACCTATTAAAATTTAATTAATTTCTAAAATTCCTGTTATAACGCTTTAAATATTCAATTATTTATTTATTTTTTTAGAATTTTGGAATTATTTAGTTCTTTATCAGTTAATAATAAAAAATTCGTAAAAACGGAAAATTTGTATTGAAAATTTTAAAAGATTCTGTGCACTGTTTTTATACATTTTTGTCTTACTTTTTTATCAAAAAAATATAAATAAGTTAATTTTAAAAAGTTTAAAACTTTAAACCGGCGCGTAACATAACCTCGAAAAATTAAACTTTAGTTAATATTTATAAGTTTTTCAAGTTGATTTTAAAACTATTTCTCTCGTTTCTCTATTAAAATAACTTAAAAATTACATTATAGAAATTAAATTGTTATTTACTCATCCTAAAAAATATTAATTAAAAATTTTTTAACAATATCGTTCGAAAAGCTTAAAAAAGCTCCGGTTGAAATAACCCATTGGGCAAAAAGAACATTTACGTTCAAGGAACGTTTCTAAAACGTTTCATGTCTGCCAAATTAACATCTTAAAAACGTTTCATGTTCTAGAAACGTTTGCAAAACATGAAACGTAAATAGTACGTTATTTAGCAGACATTAAAGGTCAAAACGTTCAGAAAATGTATGATTTTTTAATAAATTTTTTTTTAATACAATAAATAGATTTTTTTATTTGAACACATTGATAGGTATCTGAAAGTACACTATAAAATCATCTAATTTATCAACTTACAATAAAAGTTTTACTGATTGCTAATGAAATTCTACTAACAATTAGTAAAATTTCACTGATTTTTAGCTAGTTTATAAATAAATTATTTAGAGAGCAACTTTTCCAATTCTCGCTCAAATGATTAAATAAACTTACTGACCCATCACTGAAGTATATAAAGTAGAATATAATTAAGAGAATGTAAATTATTTATGAAATATTTTTGAAAAATATAGATTATAAAAAAACCTTGGAATTACTAAAATGAAAAAGTAACCTCTTAGTGTCTTAAACTGCCTAATCAGATTTCTTCTTTAATATTTTGTATACTAAAAAGAATTCCTTTATTCCCAAAAAGGAAAATCTTCTTAAACAAATCCGCTGATCATTATAGATTATTTAATTTTCTAGGTAAACAGAGGACCTTTTGAATTGAAAACTTTTTTCAAAAAGATAACTGTCGAAGATAAAAATAAAATGAATATTATCAGAAAATTTTCTACTTTTTCTAGTACTCTTGAACTAAGATTAATTATTTTCAAATTGAAGATAAATTTTCTTATAAATAAACTGAGGGTATTTTTATAGTTAAATTATTCAATTTGCTTTTATGAAGCGATTATGAAAATTATAAAAATTATTAAATCTATTAAAGGAATTGAATAAAAAGGACAGTTCTTTCACGACATGAAGAATTTTTTTTTATTATACACATATCATTTAATACTATTACAAAATAATCTCTTCAGTTTTTATAGTCTTTTTATTAAGAGAATTTCAATAAATTTATTTTTTTATTGTTCTTCAGGATATACAGTGAGCTTTACGTAGAATATCTGGCAACACTGTGTACGTCATAGCTTAGTTTTGCGTGCAGTATTTGAAAATGTTGATTCTGATCACAGGTTAAAAGCACCGCAGACGAAATGCTATGTTGCCAGTTGTCTCACGATACTCAGCAAGTCAAATTACAAAGTAATACTCTCTGTTTTGAATAGTTCAGTCAAAAGTTAGAATTTCTTTAAAAGTTATGAATTAAATTAATTAAATTACTTTGAATATAAAATCTGGTTATAAATTCTTGTCCTTTTTACTTTAATTATTTAGTATAGCTTTTAAAAATAACTGTTTAAATAGTTTAGGTTATATAGCTTAGGTTCATATTGTAAAATTTACCATCATTTATATCAATTTGGTTTTTGTTTTTGTTCAGTATTCATATTATCACCTAGAATTAATCAATTATTCAGCAATTTGTTTTTTAAAAACTCAATTATTTGCGCTATGAAGAAATGTCCTTTTTTTGAAGAAAAAATTGATTATATTCAGCATGTTCGTGGGAGATAGTAATTGACAGAATAGTGACTCAGATCCTTATACCAACAGGCAGTTTGTAAGGATAGGAGAAACGATGCCGTCTTTCAGGGCAACGACTCCGGCTCGAATGTGGAGATTTAAGGCGTTAGTTTTCAAAGGAATATGAGTGTAATATTGAGTCTTCTACACATATAAAACATCTCCTAACTACATTGAAAGTGTGAGCCTTATGCTTGTGCCTCGAGCGGGCCCACTTTAAACCCAATCAAGGTCTCCACCTTCTCCCGAGACCTGCCAAGTGCACACTCTTCTGTAAACAAGGAAACCAGGTGCCGTAATGATCTCCATTCGTTTCGTCAAAATCAAATGACACAAACAAGATCAAACGTTAAACACTTACATATGATTACACATTCTTTAATAATTAAGTGATTGCTGACACAATTAGTTTATTTATAATATGCTAAACATTCTTATTGTCACCACTTTTATAATGTTATAGAGATATGTATAGGGGGCTCGAATAGGTTGAAAAAATTGAAGGTTACTTGTAGGTTATTATATAGTTTTAAAAAAAACTTTTAAAATTTTCAAAATTAGATTTTACTATGATTTAAATTTGGATTTACTTTTTTCACATTTAATATTTTTAGAAACCATTTTAATAAGTTTTTTTTTATATATTTAAGTGACACAAAAATTTTGATTTTCAGAGTGCTCAGTTTATCAATTTCCCTGACAATTTACTAACATTAAAATAATTTCCCTGACAAAATCCTTTTCACAGGAAAATATGAGAGCTTACGGAAAATGAGTAAAATTTATACAATTCAATAATTTCTAAACATTAAAATTATAACCCTTCCTAAATTCAATTATTTTCTATAATTCTCAACTGAACCTCATCTCTAAATAAATTATTTTAAATAATTTT